TATATATATATATATATATATCTGTGTGTGTGTATGTGTGTGAATATGGGCGTGTGCGAGCCAAGGTGTACAAAGAACAACTTTTGGGAGCCGGTGCTCTCCCCCATCAATCCCAGGATTCCAGAATTGAACACAGGTCATCAGGCTTGCAGAGCAAGCTCTGTTACCAGCTGAGCCGATCTCACTGGCTCTAAACTAAGTTTTAAACAGACCTCATTAGATGATTTTGCTTGATCATACATGATCTGAGACTGTTTATGATAGGCTAGGTGTAATGTAACCTAGACTGCTGTTGGGTGTATTCCATATGCATTTTTGACTTAGGATTTTCACCTTGCATGGCATATCAGGATAAAGCCCACTGGAAGTTGAGCAGGTATATTTTATTGTCTCTGTTCTGGTAGTATCTTAGCTTGGTAACATCAACAAAAACTCCATACAGTCTGAATTAGGGTTATCCTTTCCTTGCAAAGGTCAATAAACAAAAACACAGAGCCACTGGGCACGGTTTAGAAGTGAGAGCCAGGTGCCTAAATTAGGTGTGTGGACGGAATAATGCCGACTTCCACCCGTTAACTGGTCTATGATTTTAAAAAGTGTGTAATGAAAAAAACACTATGAGAATAAGCACATCAGAAGCGATTTACATAAATATTTTCCAAATATGAATACCTACATCATTCAAAAGCATAAAAGACTAAACTGAACCAGACACTCTGAAATGTTTTGCACTTGTTTACTCGGGTAAGAACCATTCTTAGCTGGCTTTGCTACTCAAGGGGTACACCGGTGGCTGAGACCTTCCCAGCAACACTCCTGGGCAAGCAAGCCCTGGTTGAGGAGCGCTAGCTTGCAGCCCCTCTAATCTGCAGTGGTCCAATTTGCCCTCTTCTTCCAAAAGACCCACGCTACCTATTTGGAAAACATTCCGCCCGTTGGTTGGCACTGCTTTTCTAGGGTTTTTTCAGCTTTCTAGGAATTGAAAGCTATTCTAGGCGGCAGGTCAGCAAGACCTTCTTTGAGCCCCAGGGCTCTACATGCGGGAAGACACGGGCGTGTTTTGGGGCAGCCCAAACCAGGCCTTTGCATCCACAGCTGCCCAGCTGGCAAGGCTGGAAAATGGGACAGTGAGGTGAGGGGGGTGAGTGTATACCAGCGGGTGTCCTTGCTCGCAGCAGCCCGGCGCCGGGGCGGTCTGTAGGTCCGGAGCGGCCGTCCTGAGACCGTGGCTAACCAAATGGTTTCGGCCAGACGACCGGGACAACGCCAGCAAGGCGAGTCAGAGAGGGTACCACAATGGGCCCGCGGGCGCCTAGGATGGGTGGGTGGGGCTTGCGTTCACTGCGCACGCGCGCACCCAGGCCTCCAAGCTCGGTTAGCAACACAACCGTCACGTGGCTCCGCACCGGCCAATCCACGGGACCCCGGGGCGGGGCGTCCAGCGGTGCCCCTCGGCGGGAGGCGGGCGACTTCCGGCAATAATTGGACGCTGCAGCTCGGTGCGGTTGGTAGCTGTCTCGTCTGCGAGGGAAGCCGCAGGTGAGGAGGGGCGCGGGATGGGGAGGGGCTGTCAGGCAGGGCGTCCCCGGCCCACCCTCCGCTGGCCGCCGTGCTGCCCGCTGGCCCCGATCGGGCTGTGGGCTCGCCCACCTCCCCGGGGGTCCGGGCGTCCGCCCCCGACCCCCGCCGGCCTGCCTTCTGCCGGTCCACGCCTCCTCCCTGCACACCTGTCAGGGCTCCATCCCCGAGGCCGGCGAGCGCTTTCGCCGCCCGACACGGGGCGGTTTGCATCTGTATCCTCAGGGCTGATTTCTGCCTCTGTTCCAGTGGGGTTCCGTCCCCATCCTTGGGCCCTATTCAAACTCCCCTGAACTCAAGCATCTGGAGAACTGGCCCTATGAAGGGCCCTTTCCCCCCTGCATGCAGCGCCCAAGACTTAATTTCCCACCATGATCAGAAAAGGTTCCCCCATTCTTATTCCATTTTCCTTCGCTCGGGGGCATGCTGTCTTACTTCGACGCATCTGTGATGATCTCTCCGGATTCCTTGGAGTACGCCCCATTTCTGACATGCACCCTGAAATAGGCAGTTTGCTTTTTCAGGATCTTTCACAATCACATTCACCCACATTTACAGACTTCACATTTGATCCAAGTTGTCTGAATTTAACTGACTTAAAAAATTTTGTAAGAAAAACTTGATCAGCGACAAAATCAAATGCTTATTAGGTGAAGACTATTCATCATTTTTTAAAAGGGTTGTATTATTGTTAATTTTGTGTGTGGCATGCGCACTAGTGCCCAAGAAGAACAGAGGGTGTCAGATACTGTTGAACTGGGGTTACAAACAGTTCTGAGCTGCCTGATTTGAGTGCTGGGAACCAAACTTGGGGTCCTCTGCAAGGGCAGTTAGTGTGTGCTCCTAGCTGCCGATCCATCTCTCTATTCCCACATCATTCATTCATTCTTACCCCAGAACGATGGAAGTTATCTTTCTCAAAATTAAAAGTAAGAGTGAAGCTTTTTCCTCCAGAATTTAGCTTGCCTTTCTGTTTTTGTTACAACTTGTTTTATTGTAATACGCTTGCCATACACTCGAAGCTTTTATTGTTTTGTTTGTTTGTTTGTTTTTGTTTTTCTTCTTTTGGTTTTTTTGAGACAGGGTTTCTCTGTGTACCTTTGGAGCCTTTCCTGGATCTCGCTCTGTAGACCAGGCTGGCCTTGAACTCACTGGAGATCTGCCTGCCTCTGCCTCCTGCAGTGCTGGGATTAAAGGCCGTGTTAAACATAACTGATGTACGTTCTAATTATTTTTCATGTAATTTACAAATAGAGCACCACATATATATGTAGAAAAAGACAACAACAGCAAACACCCAAACCTGTAATTTCCTGGGATCTCTTTTCATAGGCTGTTAGGATTACTATAAATATAGTGGCTAAAAGCATGGATTGTGGAATCAGGGTCCATAATTTTGAATCCCATCCTATTGAATTCTTTGCTTCTGTACTCTCATGTATAAACTAGAGAGTTTTTGTTGGGATATGGTGGGTGGACACAGGGCCTCGGGTATGCTAAGCAAGTAAGTGCCCCAGCACTGAGCCTTGAAATAGAGAATTAAATTTGTAAAATGAGGGTAGTTCCTACTTTACAGGTTAGTGTGAGGGACTAAACTAGGTGTAATTCACGTGAATTGTTCACAGTGCCTGGCCCGTTCTGAGTTCTACTGTTGTTACTGTTTTTATTCAGTAGGAGAAAATGTGTTTGTTGAAGGAGAAGGGGAAAAAAGCTTATTTTTTCCTTAGTTCAGGCTCTTTGGCTTTAGGAGTTTTTACTAGGAAATGAATTTGACGAATTCATCTTGTTCTCCTGCCGTACCCCACCTTCCTGTCTTGCAGTGTGAAATAGAAACCCAGAAAAGACGTAAAGGTGTTGAATCCCAAGTGCGTTCTGGCGTTAGTTAGCAATTACTATGCTTAAATTTTCCTGCAGATAGGGGCTGGCTGGCTGGATCAGCAGTCTAGAGCGCTTGCTGCTCCTGCCGAGGACTAGGTTCCGTTCCCAGCACCCACATGCTGGCTCCCAACTGCATCTAACTCCAGTTACAAGAGGATATGATGCCTTTGTCTGGGCGCTGCATGAACACGGTGCACTTGCAACCATGCAAACAAAGCACTCATATCCACATAAAATAAAATTAAATATATTAAAAAAATAAGTGCAGATTATACAAGCTGTGACTCAGCCGAGCAGACTTGGAGACGTTACGCATACACATATTAATTTTTCAGAAATCGTTTATGGTTTTTACTTTACATGATAGCTAATCTTGGTTGTCAGCCCGACACACCTGAGAAGAGGGAGCGTCAGTTGAGAATTAATTCCATGAGGTTGGTCTCTGGGGCATGTCTGTTGGCTCCGTTCTTGATCGCTAATTGTTGTAGAACGGCCCAGTGTACTGTGGGTTGTGCAGCCCTAGGTGGTAGGTGGGACTGGGCTGTGTGAAAAGAGCTGTCTTAGCAAGGCACAAGGTACAAAGCCAGTAAGTGGTATTCTTGTGTGGTTTCTGCTTGAGTTCCTACCCTGAAGTCCCCGGAGGGTGGACTATAACCCGTGAAATGACATAAACCCTTTCCTGTGTCAACCTTTCAGTCAGATTATTTTAACACAGCAACAGAAAAGAAAGTAGACGGCCTTAGCATTTGCAAATTCTCAAAATAAAGCTAATCTTAATTTTAAATATGTTAATGAAATTCTAGCAGTTCATGTCTTTTAGCCAAGCAGATAAATTCCCCTAAAAAGGGGGTTGTTGTCATTTAAAATCTTCCAGTGACACTATTTTCTCATATACAAACAGGTGCTTCATGTTGTATTAAAAACAAACTGGTCACCTTTTTAAAGTGCAGCTTACCGTCTGCTCTATGAGACAGGGTCTCACTCTGGAGCCCAGGTTGGTCTTGAATTCTTGCCTCAGATACTTCAGTGCTAGGGTTACAGGTGGACAGGTATTTGCCAGCCTACCTAGCCCCAGTGGCTTTTTTTTTTTTTTTAAAGTGGTGCTTAGGATTGAACCCAGGGCCTTATGAACACTAGGCAAGTGCTGTACTACTGACCTATAGCCCTGTATCCTAGTGGCCTTTGTTACTATTTATTAATAAATTTGCTTCTAGAATCTGTGCCTTAGTTTATGAACTGTATAGCTTATGCTATAAAATAGTGAACTAATACCACGATCCCAAGATTGTGTCATGACAAGTCTATGAAATAAATCTTTAAACGAACAAATATTTTCCTCTAGGTTGAAAAATCCGGGACATAAGGGTTTGGTTTTTGTGGTTTACTAGCTACCAGGCCTTTAAAAAAAAAATCCATTTAGCTGTTGAAAGGGTTATACCAAACTATTTCTCACCAAATTGTCCAGTCGATGAATTACAATATGTATTGAGTTGACAACAAAATGTAATTGGAAATGCCACGACGGCTCTTTTTATAATCGATATGTAAGAGAAAAAGATGTGTTCTGAGTATAAACTAGTTTAGAAAGGTTTTACGATCCTTTTGGTATAAAAAGCAAAAGTTATTTCAGCATGCATTTCACACACTGGGCCAGGAATCTACATGTTTTCCTTTTTGCTTGTCTCTAATAAGATGGTATAGGTGCCCGTTTGATACCCTGGCCTTGGTTGGTTATTTTAAATAGAGCTTGAGGTCTCCCAAGTACTCAAAGCCGTGGAACATGCATGTCAGGAAACACAGCAAGCCTGCCTTGCTTCACTTGCTTTCTTCAGTGCTGGGAATGTTAAACCCAGGGCTTCAAGTATCCCAGGGAAAGGCCCAGCCCCTAAGCTACACCTTCCCAGTCTGCTTTGAATGGGAAAAGAGCATCCCTTTCTGATGTAAATGCTCTGCTGAAGTTCTGTGCAAAGGTCAGCTTCCTTCCTTTATATAAACAATGCCCACCTTTCAACTCCTTCCTGTGTTTTATGGCTCTTGACATCTCCTCTATGTTTCTTTCTTAAAATGCATTTTTTTATCCACTTCCCACCCGTCACTCCACGCTTTTACTCTTCCTCTAGATTCTTTCCATGGCCTGTCTTCATCCACTTGCCCATTTCCCATCTGCGTTCTTTAGAGTTCTTCCTTTGGCCATCTTGATATGATATTATGTCTGTATCTTTTATTGCTCTGAATGCTGATAATTTTTCTCTCCAGTGTAGCTCTTTTCTGAGATATGGGTCTATATAGTCATCCATTCAGTCAATAGATAGATGTTTATTGAGCTCTGGCTGTATGCCTGACATCGATCTGGGGTAATGAGGATGTAACATTGAGCAAGTCATTGTGTCATCTTGGAGGAGAACAAATGGTGAGTCCATAAATAATTTCAGATAATGGACAGTGGCAGAGGTGGTTGATGGTACACTGATGAATGGGGTAGAGATGTCAGAAGGGAGCTGTTTGCATGAAGCCTTTGTAGGGAGGTGACATCTTGAATATGTAAACATGACTATCTGGAGCAGTTCTTAACAATCGCTGTGTCTGAGAATCACCTTTGGACCTTCAGAACACTCTGCCCAGCATCCCTTCCTCTGCCCCTCCCAAGCCTGCTCTTCTGCTGTGCGCCTCTAGCGTTCAGTGGGAAGAGTGCTTGCTGCTCCCCAGAAGACCCACCTACAAGGCACCACCTACACAGCAGCCTTTTGCCTTGCTGCCTCGGTGTGGCTGTGGCTGTGGCTGCACCTCCAGTGCTCTGAAGATCCACTGCCTTTATGCCCTGTAAAGCAGAAGTCTGAGCAAATCGTTTACCTCCTGGTTTTTTGGCTCCTGGTCGTTTTTAGGATGAAGCCCAGCTCCTTCCTTTCCTCATCTGGCCACCATGCCTTCCCCGTCTTTCCTGACCGTATCC